TAATTTTTACAACCTAAATCACTTTATATAACTGAAAAAAGTAACTTAAGTACTAAACCTATGAAATATTATCAACATATATATGCTTGCATTTGTTCATATAAAATACAGAGTAAAAAATCAAAAAGGACAATAATTTATGGATAATACACTTATTTATATTTAACTGGTTAAAAAACTCTATAGACTAAACCAAAACTAAAAATAATTAGATACATTCTCAAAACAAAAGTTACAGAACTATTCTTTTTTTTTTTTTTTAATATATTTTATTATATTTGGAAAGAGAGGAAGGGAGAGAGATAGAGAGCTAGAAACATCGATGAAAGAGTCATCGATCAGCTGCCTCTTGCACACCCCCTACTGGGGATATGCCCGCAACCAAGGTACATGCCCTTGACCGGAATCGAACCCGGGACCCTTCAGTCCCCAAGCCGACGCTCTATCCATTGAGCCAAACCGGTCTCGGCCAGAACTATTCTTAATATAAAAAATACCAATTGTATAGCAAGATGTTTAAGTCAAGGAATAGAAAGGGAATCTATTAAATAAACTAGGGTGGATGTTAGAAAATCTCACTAACAGATTGTCTTTGTTTCCCAATCATATGCTTCCCAGCATGTTCTAAGAGCATTATCACTAGAAAAAGAATGTTGAGCTCATATATCTAATTTTATTTCCACCCAAAATAAGTCAATCTCTGAATTAAAATGAAAAAAAAAAAACATGGATAGTTACTATGAATTATTGAACTTTTACTGATAAAGTATAAATAATTAAGAGCCTCTTTCGCATGAGGGTTGTATGAACACTGTGAAAAAGTCCGACTCTTCATGATGTACTATGCTACCAAACCTATCTGTAGATTCTGAGTGGATCTTGACCTGTTTTTAATTTCATGCACAAAATTGAAGTTTATTGATTTCTGTTGCCAATGGCTTCCTTAAAATTACATCCATTTAACAGTGTCTTTTTAAAAATTAATTTTAGAGGAAAGGAGAGAGAGGCAGAGAGATCAATGTGAGAGAGAAACACTGATTGACTGCCCTCCTGACCAGGTGCTCAGTTGGTTGGAGCATTGTGCCATTCACCAAAAAAAGTTGCAGGTTCGATTTCCAGTAAGGGCACATACCTAGGTTGGGGTCTCAATCCCTGGTCAGGGTGCATACCAGAGGCAACAGGTCAGTTTCTGTTTTTCTGTCTCTGTCTCTGTCTCTTCCCCACTCCACCCCCGTTCACCCTCCGTCCTTTCTTCCCCTTCCCTCTACCTTCCCTCTATCTCCCTTCTTTCTGTAATCAATGAACTTATGCTCAGGATTAAAAATAATAATATTAAAAATAAAGTTAGTTTAGGAAGAAAGGCAAGACGGTGGGGTAAGCACTTAAATTTTTACATGTTGGGTGATAAAAGTGGCAATAGTGAGCCGAAACTAGTTTGGCTCAATGGATAGAGCGTCGGCTTGGGGACTGAAGGGTCCCGGGTTCGATTCCAGTCAAAGGCATGTACCTTGGTTGCGGGCACATACCCAGTAGGGGGTGTGCAAGAGGCAGCTGATCGATGACTCTCTCTCATCGATGCTTCTAACTATCTCTCTCCCTTCCTCTCTGTACAAAATCAATAAAATATATATTTTAAAAAAAAAGTGGCGGTAGTGAGAAAGAAAAGCACTGGCAGAAATAGGAAAGTTCAAAATTGAAGCTTTCCCCCCACCACTACAAGATGAAACTCATTTTAGACATAGTGACCTTGAAAAGATAAACACCAAAATGCCTAAGTCGAGAAATTAGGAAGACTGTATAAATCCAAAACAGACAAAAATAGTCTTTTGGCACACTGGTCACACATTAAAGAGGATTTGGAAGTTTGGTTTAAGATATGAGATCATATAATAATTATCTGTGACTCTACATATAGAGAAAAGCAAGAATACTCAGAAAAGTCAAGTTTGGATTTTGGATTAGGCAGACACTCACTGACAGGTAAAAATTTCCTTACTTCTCCCGAGGCCTTCATGTTGGCGTTTCTCATTAGCATCTTAACTAGAAAAGTTGGATAATAAAGAAGCAGAGTCCACTTTTTTTTAATCTGCTACTGATTAATAAATAGCTCCAGTAAACTGTCTTTTGCCAGAGAAATTAAAAAATAAGAACTAGGAGTTGTAATTACTTACAGATTTTAATTATCCATGTTATCACTAGTCTGCACCTCATTACCAATGGGTAAATCAGAATTAATTCAATAGATAATGAACTCTACATATTACCACTTCTAATAAGTTGTCTTGTGCTCCAGAAAATTGAAAACGATCACTAAAATGAAAAGTTTTAATTATTTCTAGATGTCAAATATCCATGTCATCTTAGTCTAGTGTCTCATTACCATGAATAATACTTGTATTGGAATAAATAAGTAATGAATCTACTAATGAAAAGTTGTTATATTTTTTAAAATATATTGTTATTGATTTCAGAGAGGAAAGGAGCGGGTGAGAAAGATAAAAATATCATTGATGAGAGAGAATCATTAATCAGCTGTCTCCTGCATGCCCTCTACTGGGGATGGAGCCTGCAACCAAAGCATGTGCCCTGACCAGGAATCAAACCAGCGACCTCTTGGTTCATGGGTAGATGCTTAACCATTGAGCTACATGGGTTAGACTACTAATGCAAAGTTTTAATCCACTGTTCTTTTTCAGTGAACTTATGTTTGACCATTACAAACAACTTGGTCTGTTCCAACCATGCTCCAAGATGCCTTTTATTTATAGCACCTAATGCAAAAATTCAACAATTAGGCTTCCTAAAACTTAAGATTTAACATATACCTTACCGTCACCACTAAGCAATAAAGGATGAGCAAATCATGAAGAAATTTTGACCTACAACAAAACCACAATGATAAGAAATCAAATATTCAAGGACTAGAGACCCAGCACAGGAATTCATGCACCAGTGGGGTTCCTCAGCCTGGACTGCAGAATCAAGCCAAAACTGGCTTTCTGGTATCCCCCAAGAGGTCCCAGATTGCGAGAGGGTGCAGGCCAGGCCCAGGGACCCCATCGGTGCACAATCAGGGCTGGGGAGGTACACATGAGGTTGGCCAGCTGATGAGGAACCGCGGAAGGGCTCCAGGGCATGCCAGGCCCATCTCGCTGAGTTCTACTCAGTCCCATTCGGCCAGATCCCAGCAGCAAGCTAACCTACCAGTAGGAGCTTCTGGCCCCTGGTGGTCAGTGCACATCATAGTGAGCAGACCCTTTGACTGGATGACCAGACTACTGGACACTTAGCATACTAGGCTTTTATTATAGAGGATAGCCCATTTAGCCTAAAAGGAACAAAATCTTAGTTCAAATTGGCTATTTAAATTCACATCCTCAAAAGATCTAGTAGGGAAAACCAACATTTAGACAGATACAAATAACAAAAAATTATCTATCATAAAAAACTTTGTACTTTGAAATATTATCTGGTTAAATTTAGAAACTATCCAAGATTATATCAGAAACTCTATCTATTTCTTCAGATTGAGAAAACTTTTGTAGATTGTTTTATCTTCTATCTTTAAACTATTTTTTTAGCAATAACTGTTAAAGTCTATGACTCTTTTGCATTTCTTAATAAGTTCAAAAACAATGTAATTGAAGTAACCCCCCCATTCTCATTACCCCAAAGAGAAAAAACATTAGTGATGATCTCTTGACTTCTGCATCATGTTTGGGAAAATCCCAGTGTATATAATGAATGCCGTCTTCCAATATGAACATCAACTTTTAACAAGAAGTCTCTCTGGGCCCTGGCCAGGTAACTCAGTTGGTTAGAGCATTGTCTTATAGACCAAGGTTGCAGGTTCGATTCCCAGTCAGGGCACAGATAAGAATCAACCAGTGAGTGCACAAATAAATGGAACAACAAAAATCCATGTTTTCCCCTCTATATCTCTCCTTCTCTCCCATCTCTAAAATAAATAAATAAATAAACAAACAAATAAATCTCTCTCTCTCTGGCCTCTTCGTTAATCCCTCAATAAATCATTCTCCCCACCTTATCACAGTCTACCTGGTAAAAATCCCTGTTGAATGTCACACATCAGAACAAATCAATGAATCTAACCATTTAGAGCTTTTACCTATTTAAAACTGAGATAAATAGGGAAATCCAACATACAAGTAACATGTTAAGAAATGCCCATCCTTAGCTGTTACTAGCAACTGCTACCAGTGTTTTTACACCTAACCTCCTGTATGTACTGGTGCAGCATTCAGGAAATGATGCCCCAGTAACATGGTCACATGCAATGCTTACTGTTCTCACTGCAGCACTGCCCAATTTTCTGTATTTTTAATGTTTGAAATACCTCTTTCTGTGTCATTTCCCAATCAGAAACTGAGGTTTGTCTTTTCTATTTTATTTTTAAAATGAAGTTACTTAACAAAGCATTTACTGAAAATGAATTAAATATCTTTATGACAGTTTAAGATATTGTGACTACTAAGCAACTTATAAAAATATTATTTTAAAATATTCCATGTAATTTCCCACCCTACCAGTATTTTGCAAAATGCTCCTATAAAATACCAGGTCTCCTAGCTAACAAAATCTCACATCTTTGAAAAAGCAATTTGTGTTTTCAAGATGATGACGATGTTGATGACAATTTCACTCATTTAATTTTATTGGTGTAATAATATTTATATCGTAAGTCATTAAAACTTATCTCTAACAGTATAATATACAGTGAAATATTATCTTTAAATACTTTCAAAACTAGAAATTTATGTTGAAAAATACTGCTTTCTCATTGCAGTGTGATCTCTGCAGGCCAGAATTCAGAGAAAAACAATCATTTTATAAAGAACAACTATTTATATTACATATATAATAGACATTACTTGATCTATTCACCAACACCACAACCATCACATAGTAAATGACCCTATACATTTAAAATATATTCTCCTAAATCAGAAATGGAATACTAAATTTCATAGCCCACATACCTGAACCTCGCTTGTCCTCTGTTTAAGAGTATCTTCTTTCTCCTTAAGATCCTGTTCCACATTATTCTTTTCCCTAGAAGACCAGCAAACAATGCAAGAATATTTGAGAACATCAGCTACACCCGGTATGGTTATCCAGCCTCCTAATCCTGAATCGCTTTTTAAATACATAGTGAAACATTCAATTTTTAAATGAAGGGCAGACCTTTCTACCCTCTTTTAGTTATTTATGGAACAAATAAATACAAGCTCTGTTTGTTAAAAAAAAAAATCGCTTTCTCACTAAAATGTGGTGAAAAGAGAACAGATTAAAAAAGGAAGAGAAAAATAATCAATGAAACACTCAGGTTTCACTGACCTCACTGTTGCTATGGAAATGCTGTCCAATGAAAATTGCTGGTAAAGAAAAGGAGGGGTTGCATCAGCTTTGTAAGCTTAACCCTTGAGCACCACTGTTAAATCAAATGAAAATGGCTAATAGAAACAGCCAACAATATTAAGAAAAGGACATTTACTAAAGTGTTAATGTCCCCTTAAATCACTAGTGTGTACCAATTTTAGAATGAAATATAGAGAAAATGGAAAGAATCGCCAATACATGGGCCATTTGCTCTATAAAATAAATCTGCTAAAAAAAAAAAAAAAAAAGCTATTTTAGGTCACTGATAATTTCCAACTGTTCAAATATATAAAACAGTGTATACTAAGTGAAAAAAGAATCACAGTAGCATTTATCTTTCTACTCAGATCGAACAAGCTAGGATCCCCTTTTATTTTGAAACATCATTATCTAAACTCGTACATGATAGAAAAATAAGAAAATAAATTTGTACATGATCCATCAGAGCTGGATCCTTAATGAATGAATCCTAAGCAATCTTAGGTTCAGAATTACAAAATAAAGCTATTTCTTTTGATGTTATCAATTTAACTGCTATTTGTACTGAAATATCTCTCTCTCCCTCTCTCTCTCTCTCTCTCTCTCTCTCTCACACACACACACACACACACACACACACACACACACACACACACGGCTCCCTTCACTTTCTTTTCTACAGAATGAGAGAAAAAGCTATAGGATTCTGCAGTAATACATTTTTGGGGTAGGTAGAAGGAAGATAAAAGAAGGCAACATGAAGAAGGGAGGATGGCATTCAAGAAATCCTCCAGATTAGTGCTGCCAGGTTTCCCCTCAGAGCTTCATGGTGGTATTTCAGTTTCTTCCCAGACATAACCCAAACATAAGTGCAGGCTCCATTAAACTGCAGCATAAAGGAGAAATGAGACAGCTATACCAAAGAAGATGAAGATACTTAAGGGACAACTGCATGTTACATTAATATTTCTCATTGCAGGTGAGATTTTAAATGTAGACAAAACTCAACTGTTCTGGATATGTAGGTACAATGTTCTTAAGATTTGTATGGCAGAAAAAAGGCACAAGAATAAAGCTATTTGTATACTGTCACTTTTAAACACTTGAGATGGGCAAGGAGCTCACTAACCGTTTCTCAGGTGGGTCGCAATGTGGGTCACGATGTCTCGGAGATTTTAAACAGTCCCTTATCATACGAATCATTGTGGCAGTCCGTTTCTCCCTTATCTATTTACTATGCAAAGGTCATACCCCACTACCAATCCTTATAAAATTAGACAAGTTGAAAAACAGAAAAACACTGGAAGAAAAATCTAAATATACTCCACAAATTCTGCAAGCTCAATCTTGGAATTTTTCTCTCTCCTCTGTATATGATGAGCAGAAGAATGTTTTCAGTCCCGCTGCAGCATGTCAGAGATAAGTCACATGAAAAACTAGCCCCCTCCCCCATTCCATATCCTCAGAAGCATTCTACACAAGCACAAAATTAATTCAGCTCCTGCTTTCTCATAGTAGATAGTAAAAATAGAAAAAATTACACGGTATCATATATCAGCATTACACACAGTTTGGAGGGGAGTGCTCTATCCAGGGAAGATGGCACCTGTGTGTGCTTGTACTTAATCCTTTCTGCTCCGCTGTTAACTGCTTTATTGGCTGTGTCTGCTCAAGTGTATGTGCATAAAATAGGGCTGCAAGAAGGCAGTAAGTCAACTTAAAGCAGCCAAGACACATGAATGGGAGAGCAAAAGGAAGAAGCTTACTTGGTGAAAAAGAAAAACAGATTACAAAGGACTCTCAGTTCTAACAAGCAAACACAGTCTATGTTTGGGTAAACTAAAGGAGGCTTAGAAAGCACAAATTTCTCTTCATAATTCTGGGTGTGGGAGGAGTGGGGAAAAGGGCAAATAAAGATATGGGAATCTTTAGGCATTAATTTCTCTTAGTACTGAAATCAAATTTAACTTTTGGTTTACTTTTATCTAGTAGAATCCTGGTCTCATAATTCCTTTTTATCATAAAAGCCAAGTAGTATAACATACACTATTAAACAAAAAACTTTAAAGATGATGGATGCATAAATAAAGCAAAGCATTCTGTTTACTATGAGTAATTTAAAATTTTAATTATTTTCAAGATTCTGCACAAAAAAATGTTACATGCAGTTTCCTAAGAAGCTCAACATATGTGGATAAGAGAGATATAAGATATATTCCAAATACAGATATGTGAACATCTTGCTTAAAGCAGCAGTCGCCAACCTTTTGGACCTCACGGACTACTGAGTGGCAACCATTGGCTTAGAGCATTACTCACCTTGGATGTCATGACAGGAAAGCTATTACCTTCACCTTAGTAAATTCCAGATAAGGGAAATGTAATGATCCTATACACCCTCTATCTTTGACTCTCTCTCTGGCCATATTCACTCCAAGATACTGGTACAACCCAAGGAATCCAAGAACACCAAAGCCATAAAGAAAGGCCAGGGATAGAGCTCCCTGGTGTTCCTAAGGTTGCCTGTTCTGATTCTGTGGAAACTAGTATCTGAACCAGCAAGGAAAGCAGAGCCCAAGTTAGGCTTTCAAAAGTATAAAGTTGATAAACACATAATCCTACTATGAAGCAGTCAAAAGCTATTCACAAAGACAGTCAGGCTCAGGACCTTGATTTTATGTAACTCACTTCCATTCACCCAGTCTCTGTTTATAGGGAGAAGGGAGTGAGCCATCTGCCCTAATTTTTATATAATACCAACATTTTAAGAAAAACAGTATTAAATTACCTTCAAAGTCCTTTCCAGATACAGTTTTGTCTTTTTTTCCTAAACATAAGCATCTATTATTTTCCAACTATAAAACAATAAAAACTAGGAACCAGTTAAAAACTAGAAAGTTGTGAAATATAATACATGAAGATATATTTTTCAATCCTAAAACTCATTTATAAAAATCCTTTAGTGCACACTTAACCTTAAATAGCTCAATTATCAATAAATTTCTCTAGTAACTGAACACAGAAAAGCACGCTACTCTCATTATGTAGTTTTCAGTGATGTCTGAGGGTTTATGGAAACAAGTAAAATAGGCTAAAACTGAGAGGTGGATTCTATGACTCTGCTGTGAAACAGGTTTACTGACTCAATTCAAGTCACATTAACTTTCATTATTTTATTTTTCATTATGCAAACGCTAATATCTCTACCATCTTAAGATTTGCAAGGCAAAATTAACAAGATGGCATGTAATTAGGAAAAAAAGTAGGCTTTGAGCCTATGCTTTGATTGCTTTTTACTTATACTAAAATTATTTCTAATTTTAAATAATACCAATGGAGTAATTTTTAAATTTGTTAAAAGGAATTATGAGTTACAAAAAAAAAAGTTTAGAAAATGATCTGCGACACAATTGTACGATATGTAATCACTGAAATCTCTACTCCATAATCTTGTCTAAATATTCAAAATAATCCAAGGACTCTCTACTATTAGCAACTCGTTAAATGGTTTCAAAGCATAACATCTGGCTATGAAAACCAGCGGGTATTCTGTCCATCAGGGAGAATCCTGAGTCTGCTAGAAACCCAGGTGCCTTCTTAAAAGGCCAGCACACTCACCCTGGGCTCCGGTGGAGGGACGGCAGATCAGAGAGGACTGAAGTTAAGTGAGGACTGGGTTGTGCAACTCCCAGAAAAGATCTAAAGGGACAGCAACCAGGTACCTGTTCTAAGTCCCTCTCTCACTCTGACAACAGATGCCATCTTCCCTGGATAGAGCACTCCCCTCCAAACCGAATCAGCCTGGAGAAATGCAATAGCCTCACCCTTCCACCCAGCCTTTTATGTGAAACTGAATTGCTTCCTTATCACCAAATGTACACTACAGCCTCACGCTTCAATTACTCAATCAGGAACACCATTCTTGAGGTAGTCATGATTAAGACTTTCTAGTATCAGTACCATGGATCTTTACAGGGCCAGAAACAGATTAGGTTGAATTATATAAACAAAAGAGCTCCAGATTCAATATTATAAGCAATGTTTTCTCCAGAGATAATAGTTTCTAAGGGTACTTGAACTGAACTAAACAAAAAAACATTGAAAAATTTCAAACTGTATGCCTTAAATATATATTTTTAAAATTAGCTCTCAAAGATAATTCAGGTAGAGATCTATAGATAGTATTTAGGAATATAGATCCTGGATATATATAGCTCCTGTCTTTCTTCAGCTAGGGAAAGAGTGTTCATTCAGCTACTCCAACCAATGTTTGGTGAGCACTTATTCAGTAAATGCTGTGTCTAAGTGCTGAGCTGGGTGTTAGGGGTGATGATGATTACTAACATGTATTGAGACTTTACCATGCTCCAAGAACTGTACATGGGATTAGTCGTATTTTCATTTTACTTTATACAATTGAAGCACAAATAATTAACTAAGAAACTGAAGCACAAAAAATTAACTAAGTAACTTGTCTAAGTCATACCAGGAATCAAACCAGTTAGGAGACCCATGCTCTGGAATATACTGTATTGCTTTATTACAAACAAGAGGCCCAATACACGAAATTTGCACACTGGTAGGGTCTCTAGCAGGCTGGTCCCACACCCTAGTCAAGCTCCTGGACAACTCCTGATCGAGGGGACAATTTGCATACTACTCGTTTATTATATAGAATAAGAGACATTCTGTGT